ACGGTCGAACCACCAAACGTGGCCAAGTGCGGCCGACGACCGCGACTTTCTCCTTTTATGCTAATTTCGTTAATACGCTATTTTCACGACTTTCGTACTTCGCAGACATGCCATTTTACATCTGTACTGTACTGTCCCGATGCAGGGCAGGCCGATGAACCGAAAACGAAATATTCCCGGCGAAAGGAGATAATCGAGAAACAGTTTATTGCTCGTGCTATTACGTAAAAACATATCGAAGCATTTCAGAAAGTTTAATGAATTTGATGATGATTACGAGAGGATGGTACGTACGTGAGCTCGCATATATTATTATTCATCGATTAAAAAAAACTCTTGGACCATGATCGAAGAATAATTTAGAGATATTTTATACGTATATTATTTGCGTCGTATCTACGCCTCACGTACGATATATATATAATTCTATTGAACAATCTCTCTAAAACGGTCCTCCCATTTGAATTACCAATTAATTCATCGATATACGCATATATACATACGTATACCGTCGTCTCTCTCTCGGAGCGTAATGTATGCGAATAAACCTTGGTGCGAGCGACACTCTACGGTCGTGATACTATACAAGAGTACCGAGTTCGTTGCCCTATAAAAGAAGGTAGGTGTATTGGCCCCGAATGCCGTTTCTGGGTTTATTACTTCAGTTCGATCGCAAACTACCGCACCGTCTATACCTTGTAAAACTGTCTGTATTATTTTGACTGGCAACCGAACTGGCGAGTAGAGAAGTACGGTGAAAAAAAAAAAAAAAAAGAAAAAAAAGAAGGAAAGAAAGAAAGAAAGAAAGAAAGAAAGAAAGAAAGAAAAAAAAAATTATGGAACACGCCTTTCGAAATTTCTCCTCGAGATGTAATACATCGGATACGAGGAGGTAATACATCGATGAAAGCATTTTAATGTCTTTTAACCTCATCGTGGCTTTACACGTTATACGTTATAAGAATATTTCTAACAGGCAGAACGTACCCGCTGCCTTTGCCGTCTTACTTTCTCTTTAATTCCCTTTAGACCCTCCAGTTTCTATACTTGGCGCGTAAATTTCCTTCCTTTGTTTCATTCTTTCTCTTTTATACTTTCACATCGAAAATATTCAATGTGTATATATATACATATATATATATATATATATATATAAAAAGAAAAAGAAAAAAGTAAGCACCATGAGATATAATGGTATAATACGCGTACCGTTTCGATATTATTCTCAACAAGTACGTTCATACTTCGCAACACGTTATAAAAAGATTAATATTATTCTTATATATTTAAAAAGTTTGAAAGTTTCTTACTTGGCAAAATAATCGTTTTAAAGAAATATTTTGCACCATTCGACAATTTCTTTGTACGAGTAATTAAATTACAGAGACTTAAGTTGAAAAAAAAAAAATCGTGTCGATTTAACATGGATGTGTAATAAATAATAAATAATAATGAGAAATGGAATGAATGAAAATTAAAAGATTCAAAAATGGTTTTCGAATTCACGATAAGAAAATATACCTATATATTCTGAACGATGACGATAGCGGTAGCAATTGGCAGTGGTGGTGATAATGGTGGTAGCGGTGTCACCTCTGGTGTCTCTTCTAGTGTCGAAGCTGCTGCTTCGTAAGCATGGCTATACGGTACAAAGCTTCTTAGTGGGGATGGAGGACACTTTCACTCTCACAGGTGTATGACCGAGTCGAGAGCTCGGAAATACTTGTATTACCTGAACGGGTGTCGAAGGGTGGGGAGAAGGAGCGTGGAAAATGGAGGGGATCAAGAGGCGACGGTCCAAGGAAAAGATAGGAAAGGATAATGCGAAAAGAGGCGAACGTTTGGAAAATTCCCTTCGCCGAGTGGAGGAAAAGGAAAAGGAAAAGGAAAAAAGGAAGGAAAAAAAAAAAAAAAAAAAAAACGAAAAAAGGATGCATCTCGAGGAGAGAAAAGAAAAGAAGGGGGGAGGGAATGAGAAAAGAGAGGAAATCCAGTTTAAAGAGGTAGAGAAGGAAAAAAAATGCAAAGAGGAATAGAAAGGAAAACGTGGTAAGCAGATAGGAATTTATGGCTCGGGAAACAGGAGGACATTGTTGTGCGTGGTCCGCTAGATAACGGCCCAATGTCCACGTGCTTACACGTATCGATCAACGTGCATCGCCATTTCTTTTTTTTTTTTTTTTTTCTTTCCTTATTTCCATTTCATATCGCGTAAATTCGTTACCGATATCAAAAAAAGAAAAAGAAAAAAAAAAAAGAAATGCGAGAAAGAGGTGAAGATAAATCGTGCAAGTATCGTGCAAGCGATACGTAAATGGAAAGAGAGGGATAAAAGAGGGAGAGAAAAGGAGATGGAATTCGAAGAGGCTGGACGAGGTCAGTGAACTTCACGAAAAAGTATGGTTTTTTGTGGTGAGTGTACGCTACTACCGAAATACGTTTCTGACGCGACAGGACATTCCCGCCGATACTTCCCAGTGGATCCTAGTGGGTTCCAGTGGGTCACTGGTTCACGAAGAATCGACATAGTGTAGTCCACGAGAATACGTGCAAAAGAGACGTATACTTTTGCAATATATTATTATTATTAAATATTTATTTCTAACGTTTTTTTCTAATATCTAATTTAAATCAAATAATTATCCACTTTTCGATGATAATTTTTCTTTTAACGCAGAGAGGATCTTATGATCCTCTTGTTACGAAATCTCGATGTTACGATTATTTTTTAATCGTAGATGTTATACACGTACAATGTATAGATAGATACGAAGAATTTATAAGTAAGATATTAAATGGATTTAATGGATGAGTAATTATGATAAAAGTGTTGGATTTTAAATAAGATAGACATGCGAATATTTGAAAAATTTGATCATTGGCCATTGGTGCTTGAAAAAGGCGTATATTTTTCGTAACAGACGCGAAAGAAGCATTCTGCTTGCTTGCGGTTCCAAGAAATCCGGTTAGAATTTAGGCTATGTGGAGCTCCTACTCGAATCTGGAACAGGCTGGTCATTGACCTTGCTTCGATCGCTCTTTGAAAAGATTTTCAAGCGCGATTACGAGTTTACCCATGATTATCTTTGAAAAAAAAGCATCAGATATTCCGTTTCTTCGAGCAATTTCCGTTTCAAAAAATTAAAAAAGTGATTGAACTATTGCAAAATGATTAAACAGAATGATTAGAAATTCAAATCCCGAACTGTTTCCATGCTTTTGATCGATATGAAAAACCTAAATAAAATTTGAGGTTATGTTGGTCGAAAATTAAGAAAGGTACAATTGGACAGCAGGAAAGAAGATAAAGATCTAAAGTGATTCCGAATTACACACAGATGACTACCGAATCATTTTGACCTACATATAACTATTTTATATGTATAATAATATCAAAATAATAATCGGATTGATAATTGGATTTTTAATAATTCTTCGTATTATTTTTCTTTCCTACTTTTTAAAAAATTAAAAAACACGTGCAATGTAACAAAATTCGCAAAGGCACAAATTTCACTCTTTACTTTCTTTTTCAAGAAAGAGTCAAATCTTGTTTGAACAGTGGAGAAATCAATGTGAACGTATTTATAGACGTTGACGTTGCAATTATGCGTATCGTTCTCTTTACTCCCTTTAACGAACTAATTGTATAGGGTATCCCAAAAATGTGGGGACATTCAACTGGAGACTCTTGAGCTAATTTTAGATTACATTTTTCTTTGCAAAGACTTTCGTTTCGGTTTTAACTCAACGAGTTATTATTGGCCAATCAGTAGACAAAATAACCATTTAGATAATAAATTAGTATTCTCTTTGCGGTCTCGTTATCATTTAATTTGCATTGATATATATATTATTTTAGAAGAGAATGTAAAAGCCTTAAAGAGAACGGAAGTATATTGTGTTTCGCTATGAATTTTTATTATTCCTGGTATATGATAAACTTTCATAAACCCGATAATAATAAATTTAACTAATTTCGAATTGTTATTTTCAAAAGATTTACTTTGCAATCGTTATCTTGAAATTGATTCTCATCACACATGCATATCTTTGTTACTTATCTCAAAGATGACTAGATATTAAAATATAAATAATAAAATATTTCTTGACAAATTTCTTCGCTCCTTCTACAACGTTCTTCCTTCCTTATAACTTCCTTCTATATTCGTTCGAAAAATATAATATTTAAGAGGAAATTTTAATATAACAGATTCCTCAGAGATATCAAATTCGAATGATGAAAAGATATTCGATTGAATCGTGATTAAACAACGGAAATGATTATACATATCGGTTACGACCAAGTTTTAACAAATACGTAACGAGCTTTTTAACAGGCTTGATAATGAAATAAACGAAACGAGGATGGAATATTTTCTATTTGCTTATCTATACGTATAACTATAGTTATGTTATGATGTATATAAATATGTGCACTTGTGCGTTTTATATCATAGTACCTGTTTTGGTTGCATCTAGTAAGGATTAAATAATCAAGCTTGTCGTTTATCGTGGAAAGATGTATTGCCTTAAATATAATAAAATAGTAATTATATTAATTGTCGTAACCACGAGTCTCGGTATCAATTCGATCAGTCTAATCGAAATCGATTTTGGGCAAAAAATCATTCCACCAACACCGAAATTTCAAGGGACATTCGCAGAAACTCACGAGCACGAAACTATCGGTAGGGCAGATACGTACAATGGCTCATGAAAGTAAATTTTTTTTTTTTTTTAAATATTTTTATCAAAATATCATTTTAAAGAAACAAGAATAAAATTGCATTCAAAACTTGTATCCAAAATATGAAAGTATCCGGAGGATTAATTTCATCCTCTCGAAAAAATTTCTCCGTGTTAATTTTATTATTCCGTACAAATTTTTGATACAAATGAATTTTTTGCTGTAAAAATACTTTCAAATAACTTTCGTGAGCCCAAGAGGAAATCAATCGAACTATGATCACCGATATTCGTCCATTAATTTTTGACAGCTAATCGCATAAAATCGTGGAAAAAAACGGACAAGCAGAATGTTTGGGAGCTAAGCGGTTTGTACGAAGGAGACATAATGATCACGGAGGAAGATGAAATAAAGAATGGTCTGATAAAAACCGCGTTCCGTTGGCCAGGCGGTGTTGTACCCTATTACATAAAGGAAGAAGATTTTGGTAATTTATCTTGTATTAATAAGATATCTTCAATAAAATTAATAAAGGAATAATACGAAATCGCATTTGATTAGACGAAGAAGACATAGAGGTGATCAAAGATGCTATAGAAGATTACCACCAGAACACGTGCATACGTTTTCGTCCTTACAAAAAATCTGACAATGATTATATCACTATAGAAGCGAAATCGTCGGGATGTTGGTCCCTGGTAGGTAGACACGATCACGGTCAAGTGGTGAATTTGCAGAATCCGGGATGCGTGCAACATGGTGTAATTATACACGAGCTGATGCACGCATTGGGTTTTTATCATCAACAAAGTGCCGCGGATCGTGACGAATGGGTGACGATCAATTGGGAAAATATAAAGCCAGGTAAACACTCGATTATATTTGGATTACGATTGGAATGATTCGATATTGATTGATATCGTTGTCGCCGATGATTATTCAGGAAGAGAACACAATTTTAACAAATATGACAATCGCACCGTAACAGATTATGGAATCGGTTACGATTACGATAGCATAATGCACTACAGCTCTTACGCGTTCTCAAAAAATGGCGAACCGACCATCACACCGAAAGTAAGTAAATCGACGTAAATTGTTTGCGTTTCTTTCGTCTCGTTATAATGTTTTTTATTCGTTCATATAAATTGTATAGAAGAAAAACGTGAAACTTGGCCAACGAAAAGAACTCAGTGAGAAAGACACGTTGAAATTACGAGAAATGTACAAGGAAGAATGTGGCAAACGAGAGATGAATGGAACTGCGGATAACAATTCGATGGATGATATATCTATTGAGTGGATACTTAGTAAGAAATTGTAATTGAATTTTACTAGAATTTAAAAAAAAAAAAATTCGATTTCTTTGTTAAATAATAAAAATAACAACAAAATATTGTTTAGTTTGGTAAAAAAAAAAGTTAATATTCATATGTTTTGTTGTCAGATACAAAAAATGAAATGTTAAAATGTTTGAAGAAAAAACGAAAATGCATCAAGTAACAGGATTTTCTTGATTGTAGTATATCAATTCCTTTAATTCGTTGACTGCGTCTTCTGCGGCCTGAAAGTATATATATATATCCTGTATGTAATATTTCAATCAGTTTAGTTAAATCACTGACCTAAGTTTTTTTTTTTTTTTTTAATTACTTACAAGCCTTACAGCTTGATCGTTGTCCATGATTAAATTTTCTACTAAATTCTTTAGAGATTTACACCAGATTTGTTGTAAAGCTCTACAAGAAAATCTACCCAATAGTCTAATCAGGTGACAAGTTCTCATTCTGAGTATTGCTTGTCGATGCGTGAGCAGTTTACCAAGCTGTTCTACCGAGTTTCCTTTTTATGAAAAAAATATTTTCTCAATATAATAATTGACCGACATTCGTGTTACTGATAAAAGAAAAACAAAACAACAAAAAGAAACAAAAAGAAAAAAAAAAAAAATACAATTTCCTGTCGGCAAACTTACCCGATAAATGTGAATGCAATACAACTTTTTCAACGAGATGAGCATTTTCCGGTTGAGAACGCAATATATTACTTAAAATTGCAACGAGATCTACGACTACACGTGCCTTTCTTTTTTCTAAACTCAATAATTGTTGTAGCAACGTCACTCCGTTTACGATATAAACGGCATCACAGAATTGGGTAAGAAATTGTTGTCTATTGTAAACCAATCTGCAAAGTACAAGCATCATGTATTCTAAGGTTTGTAGTTCGTCGGCGGATAGAGCAGATGCTGATCGCGTGATTGCATTTGTCGGCTCAGATTTTTTGTCTCCTTCGGACTCGGAACGTTTCGACATTAAAAGTTTCAAAGAGTAAACGAGATTCGGCACTACTCGAACGTCCAAATATACTTGGGTGATCTTCTCGAGAGAATCTTTTGTCACAGACACAACGTATGGTAGAGACAAAAGGCAAGCAACGTATTCGATGACTCGACAACCGGCTGCAGGATTTCTCAGTGGCGATACGAATACTGACACGCAATTTTGCTGAAGCAACGATCCTACTTCGCCATCCATGATTTCTTCCATGGATCGTTGCAAAAATGCTATCCATTCTTCGTTTTCGATCGGTCTGTCGACAGCTTTTGGATTCCAATCTGGTATTCTGTTGCCACACGATAGCCCAGCATTGGCTGTATCGTCTCGTCGGGAACGTAATTTTTGATTATATGCGTATTCGTTATTTTCACGATCTTTCTCATTGTGATCGATGTCTCGAGAAATGATCTGTTGCATAAGACAAAATTTACTTTCATCGATATTTTTCATTTCGATCTTCTTTTGTAATTTTTCTTCTTCTAGATATTCATTCGGATTTCGTTCGCTTAGATAAACCGGTAATTTAATATTTAACATTTGTTCAAATGTTAAACCGTCTTGTTTATTTGTCGAGTCATTAGTGTTTGGACAATCACTTTGACATAACGCATGATCTGCTGAGAGTAAGTCGCTTTTCAAGGATGCTCTTAAGCTAAGATTTCCTAACAGTACATCGACACTGGTGCTAGAATCCGTTCCACTTGGTTCGCTATGTCGTAAAGTGTAACATTGATTCGTATCATACTGGCAATATCCGTGTGGTATTGGATAACGCGGATATGACGTAAATGTTTTTTGCCGGCGTTCTTCGATTGTTCTTTCATGTTCTTGTAACTTTTTAATTGCCTTCTCTAAAAATCTATGTTATATTGAAATTCTTATTTATTAATTATTTTTTAAATATAAATTTTTAAATTATTATATATGTCTTTTTTTTAATAAAATTTTAATGTTAAATTATATATAAAAGATATAAAATTATATACACTATGTTACAATTAAAATCTATTTATACTGGATCTAACGAGAAAAAATTGATTTTATTTAAGATTTTCTATTAGTAATAGTATAGTTAATTATAAAAATAAAGTTTAATGACATGGAGTCAATTTTTAAATTAACTAATAATCAAAATAAATATTAAAAATAGAAAAAATTTGAAATTTGAAATTTAGAATTTAGTATTGAATAGAAAAAATTGAATTTTTTTGATAGAATTTGAATTTTAACTGTAATATATACATATGTATACTTTGACTGATGATCAGTAGGTTGCACCGTCAAATTTTGTAATTGCAACTGTTTTTCTCTAGCTTGACTTGCAGATAGAGGTGTAGTAAACGGTGTGGGTCCAATTTCACCAACTATTACTAGTCTATTTTTGACAAAAGGATGATCTAAAAGAGCTGGCCAAGTTAACCTTTGCGAAGGATCCTTTTGTAATAATCCCTACTAATCAAATTTTCATTGATAAAAATTTTTAATAAAAAAAAATCTTTTTATTTGAAAACTTCAAAATATATGAATATGTTATAACCTGTAAAAATTGTTTGCAATTTTGTGAAATATAATCTGGCCACTTAATTGCTTCAAATCTTATTAACCTGATTAAATGAAGGATAGAAGTTGTTTGAAAAGGTGGAGATCCTACCACTAATTCATATACAATGCAACCCAAAGACCTGGAATCAAAGTGCTTTGCATATATACTAAACTTTAATTAAACTTTACTTTACTAAATATTTTTAAATTTAATTGTTTAAAAATTAACACACCACAAATCTGCATTATAATCATAAGGGCGTTCTTCTATAAGTTCTGGAGCCATATATAATGGCGTTCCTTTTATAGAAGTTAATACATGTGTGCCTGTACTCATACTGCGAGCAAATCCAAAATCACATAATTTTGCCACTCCATTGCTTTCAAGAAGTACATTTTGTGGTTTAAGATCCCTAAAGCAAAAATAATGTTAATATTAAGAAATATTGTAATATATGAAATATCGAACCTGTGCAATACTCTGTTGGAATGCAAATAATAAAGTGCAGATACAAGATCACAAGCTATTACTTGTGCCCTTTGTTCAGATAAACGACCTGCTTTACCTAATATCTCATACAATTCCTTGTCTGCATATTCAGTCACAACAACTATCTGCAGAAAAGATTAGTACCCGAAAGAAAATGCATAAATGCATAAATATAAATGATTCTCAAGAACTATTTTAATACCTCATTTTCTGTTTCAAATGAATCAAGCATTTGAACAATATTTGGATGATGAAGACGTCGTTGAATTTCACATTCTTGACGCAAGCTTTTCAATTCCTTAAATGATCTACCACGCTAAATAATTTTGTTTGTTATAACATTTACTACTAATGACAAGTCATGAAAATATATGTATATAGTTATAAAATTAAGAAATCAAAAGCTTAATTGCGAATTTTTATCATTTTACCTTCCGGATTACTTTGAAAGCTACAATTTCACCATCGGATCGTTTTTTTGCTTTGTATACTTGTCCAAAAGATCCCTCGCCCACTTGTTTTAAAACTTCGTATTTTTCCATTGTTTCATCAAATATACTTGCGCACGCGCAAATTTGAACACATATATATATATAGATAGATAGATATATAGATATATAGATATATAGATATACTAATTATAAGTGAAAAAAAAAACTAGATAATATTTTTAAACAAAATATAGTATAATATGATGCCTAGATACGTACTTGTATGTATATGATAGATCCACAGATGAGATACAGAATAAAATTTAATGGGACTTTCTATGTTCTGAAATACCAATCGCATAAAAAATCAAAGCGTTTGGTATGCCCTCTACGATGATGCAAAAATTATATTCAATTTAATTACATAAGTTAAAGATAAACTATAGATTTTAAAAATAATTTTTTTAATATATTTTTTAATAATATACGTTTATATGTATTGTATTCTTAGATTTTTGATTGTTATATATAAAATAGATAAACTTATATATGAATTAAAATTATTCATGAATTAAAAATTACCCTTATGTTTTTCATTTATAATGAAAATAATATCAATTTATGACATTCTTTTATACAAATGGATTTGAATATAAAATTGTTAATGTTGAATTTATTTATTTTTTTATATATATTGTTAATATATAAATATTTATATACTACTATATATACATAATACATACAATACATAAGAAAATATTTATGATTTTATAAAAATTTGATAAAAAGTAAAAATATTCTATTTTTAGAAAAAATTATATATACAATATATAAAATTATATATACAAAAAGAAATATGAAAAAATATGAATACATATGAATACATATGAATATATTTAAGATATATAAACACTGAATAGAATAAATTCCGTTAAGATTTTCAATTATTATATTAGATAAAAAAAGCAATAAAATTGATCAATAATAAAAAAGAACATAAAATTAATTAAATTCGTGGTTTGCAAAAAAAGATATAAACAAAAAAGTAAATAGGCTAGACATAAAGTAAAAATTGACCATTAATGCCATCTTTTGAGAACCAGAAACATTTTTCAGAGGCAAAAGAGAGTAAAAACATTGATGTATCATCTTTTATATAATTCTGGAAATAATATTTTTGATATTCGAGAGATGATAATAATTGTAATTCTATTTCTACTTTATCTTGTCTTTAAAGAAATGTATTTGATATTCAAGAGATGACATTAATTGTCAATTCTAACAATTATTTGCTTTTTATGAATTTCATTTGCGATACTTTAAAGATAGCGTTGATTTCAATAATTTTATTCTATTTCTATTCTCTCTATGTCTTGTTTTATTATATGCTCTTCTTATTTACTTTTAACGTATAATCGTATATGAAAGATCTTAATTGAATATATCTTCGTCGTTTCTTTTTCACAAAACTACAATATTTAATTTTTAATATAAAAAAATGTAAATATTATATTCTTGATTTTATAATGTATTATATTAGAATCACGAAATATTTTATTATATTATA